AGGCTGGGTTCCTGACCCTGTTCCAACATGTGCATCTAAGACTGAGAGAGAAAAACAAGACCCGATAATCAAACTTGGGAGGACTCGTGACTGACGGAACTGAGATTCAGAAAGATGGATCACTGGCTGGATTCGAGCTACGGGAACCTTAATAGGGGAGAATATAGGGTCACGCATGTCGGTTTTTTTAAAAGTCAGCTGCTCAAGGAAAGCTGTCAGAACCGCCATTCTCACTACAAGGACAAAAAGGCTTTAGCTGGTGGCAAGTCAACATGGAAGAACGAAGTGACAGATGCTAGCAACGCTAATGCCGTTTTGGTCTGCATTTCTGGAAGTAGTTGGTGACCCAGAATGAGGGAGGTTGAGAGTCCCCCACCCACATCTGGCCAGCTCACATCTGGAGTTTTAGCTTTTACTCTAGGTGCCTTGGAGTGGCCCTGGGTGGGTCCATAGAGGATGACAGGTCCACATAATACTGGCCAAAGAGCCTGGGGACCCTAAGCTTAAGAAAGAGTAAAGGGAGCATGGGTCACGTCATCAAATATTTCAAGAGTTTTGTGCAAAGAGAAACTAGACCCATGTAGGCAGCACCAAAAAAAAGACCCAGGGGCACCTGTTACAATAAAAGGAGGAATTTTCATCTAGGTGCCCAGGGAAGGACTGCATTTGTTAAAAAGATGGCACTGTGTGCAACATTATCACGCCTGTTTTAATGGTGAATTTGAGGCAAAGAGAGAGGAACAACAAAGAAAAGTGCTTTGAAGGATTTCAAATGCTACATAAGCGCGGGGCATTTATTATTATTTGCCAGTACGAGCATTTCAGTAGCAAAACTTCCAAGGGCTAGAGATAAAATGTATCTTCCAACTGGATGCTTGCCTGAACTTTGCAGGATTCAAGGACTGTGTTGTCTGTGCGTCAGGAAGACAAATTATTATGATAGTTTATCAGGTTTCCAGTTCGAAAGCTAGATAGCCACCTCCACCCCTGGCAACTATAAAGGGTTTCTTGTGTGTGTTTCATCTTGTTTTGTTTGGGGGCCTGTGACATACTCATGTGGTTTAAAATTCAAAGAGTAAATAAGGTTAAACTCTTAAAAGTTTTCTCCCTCTGCCAATTCCTGTCCACTGGCCACTCCTCAGAGCCCACTAATGTTAATCACTATTGTTGTTGTTGTTTTGTGCCCATTTTACTCTTTATGCAATTTTCTCCATGGGACAGTGGAGGAAGCAAGGGTGCCCTGACATCCATAGGATGATCTCCGCCACACGGGACTGGGCGGAGGCCAATCACCAGAGGTTTAGGACCAGTTTTCCTCGAAACAGCAAACATCTGCCAGTGCCTAATGTCACTCCACTGTACTCCACTGGCCCGGCAGTTAAATGTCTTGCCAAAGACTCTGCAAAGAACAAGAGATAACATCCCGTGTGGGTGGATATGGCTAGGTCTCCTCTGACCAACTTCCCTGACAACATCACACAAGTGCATCTTTGTTCCCGTCCAGAGGGCTGAACGGTTGGTGCCATGGAGTACGTTATTGCTGTAATCATCCGGGGTTTGGGTTATAATGGGGAGTAACTCATGCTATTCACACACAGGCCACGTGCTCTCCGTATGTGTTATTTCTCCAACTGAAACGCTAAGTTCCTCAAAGCCAGGGTCCTAATACAGAACATGGCATTGCCTGGCAACCTAGGAATGGACTTTTCTTCCTTTTAAGGATCTCGCCTGGGGGGCTACGCCATCAGCGTGTGATTTTGTTCTCTTCCTCATTACGTTAGACGTTTTTCTAGAGACAAGAATCACACATGTGAAACAGGAACAGGACTTGGTAAAGTGCTAAACAAAGATGGGTTTGAGGGGGACATGGCTGAGATAGGACTGACCATCCCTGCTCTCTATAGAGAGCAGTGAAAATGTTCCCATTTCTAAAATTTTCTAATGTCATCTTGAATCTGAAGGCTTTCGTCTATAGGTTTATTAATAGCAACAAGTTTGGTGCTGCCTCTTCTTGGAAATCTTCTATATTCTATTGGGTAATGCCTTCCTGGTCCCCAGGACCTCCCCAAGGCCAAGTAACCACGCCCATTAGGACTTTCCAAATAGGGCTTTTCTAGGAGGAGACCAGGCAGTTCTGCCAAATGTTACACTCTGCTACGTGGAGTTATATGGTTCTTGGACGTATGTAGGGCAGCTCAGATGCATGCCAGGAGGCAGCAAGCCCCTTGCAGGCCTCCCCTGTGCTTTGACAGTCAGAGGTCTGGGAAAAAATGGGTGACACTGAGCAGGGCACGTGACAGTAAAGGCCTGCAGGGTCTTCCCAGGTTAAACTGGGAACTGGAGGTGACAATGGCCTTGGGTTACATACTTGATTTTTTTAAAAGCTACAGCAAGGATTTTTCCTAAATATAGCTTTTCTCTTCATTCCTGGAAATAAAGAAATTGTGCTGATTGACTGGTTTTTAAGTTCCCTGTTGGGGTGAAGGAAGATGAAAGGCTAGGAGTAAGTCTGACTCACGTCTGTGGATTTTTGTTATAATGAGAGTCATGTATTTTTAAAGCAGCGAAATGAGGCTTTGGCCTTGAAACAAACAAACAAATAAAAAACTACCCAAGATGAACTATGATAAAAAATAAATCTGAACCATACATGACTTTGAACCAGGAATAACACTATGAGTAGATGTTTGTAGAGAAGAAATGGTCCTGGCCCACTTATGAGAAGTTTTTGAATGAATCTTAGGAACATACAGTCGGTAAAATAATACCAGACAAGTCCCAATGACGACCTCCAAGGAACCAACTCAGTACAGAAAAGATCACACCAGGGAGGGTGGCAGTCAACCATTTGACCCCCACAATGCAGAGAGACGCAAAGTTTGGCATATGGTGATTGCTCATACACATTATTACTGGTAGAGAAAAACCAGGCAGTGTCCATGTAGCTCTCTTTGCAAATGTAAATAGAAATGGCAGGATGGGGTTGGTCACATGGAAAAGGTTGTCAGAGCTGGGCTTCCTAATTTAGGACCTTCCACCCCCAGTGCCATTACTGTCCTGGATACGGTTACTGGTTATCCAGGATATGGATACTGTCCAGGAACTGCTGGCTAGCAGTTCAATCAAGCTGCTGATAGAACTTTACTGGTGCACTAAGGCCGTGATGGGTCCAAGTCTGGACCTAAATTCTGGGAAATGCGTTCGAACGTAACCAAAAACAAACAAACTAACAAGCGTTTGTATGGAGACATGAGAGTTCAAAGGGAACTAGAGTTCTTGTGCCAAGTGGACAACCCACTTTATTCCCACTAGGACACTATGTGAGAAGCCAAATTAAGGCCCGTCAAGTAGACAATGTAAGGACAGGGAGGTAAATGAGACTAAAAGTTAATATCATCAGACCCTGAACATGGCCACGGCCTCCTCTCTAAGACCTCTGCTAAGAAAGGGACCAGGTTACTTGGGTGGGTGGCCTACAGCCTCCTGGCATTCCTTTCACTAGATGGCTGGGGATGCAAGGGTATATCGTCTACGCCAAAGTTCTCAGGGTGACTGGGGACCCCCAGGCGCCTCTGAAATCCTTTTTGGAACGCCTGAGAGGTCAAAATGATTTTCATAATAATACTAAGGTGTTGTCTACCTTTCTTACTACTCTTCTCTCCCAAGGGTACGGTGGAGTTTTCCAGAGGCTGTGTGACATGTGACATCACTCTGACAGCTACTGAAAAGTGTGTTTGTGATTTTTACTCTTCTCCATTAACTTTCTAATATGATACATATCAGTAACTATAAAAAGATCTTTTTAAAAAGATCTTCAGGGCTCTCAATACTTAAGAGTGAAAAGGTTCCTAAGATCGAAAAGACCACTGATTTAGACCATCATTCTCATTTTCCATGCTAGAACACTAGCAAACACCACAATGTTATTCTTTTGTTTTGTTTTTTTAGCTGAGCCATCCTGACACCTGTTGGCATCTCAGCAGCAGCTCAGCTCGGGCCGGGAATCGAACCTCTGTTGCTCAGAGCTCAAACTCTTGAGCGAGCTCTTAACCAACTAAGCCACTCGGCCAGCCCTCACAATGTTATTCTTTTTCATGAGATTTTCAAACTACACTAGTACTTTAGATGAAGACTTCTTAATGAGATTTAAGGAGCAGTTTTACCTCATGAGGCACATAATATTCAGATAACCTCAAAAGCTCCAAATAATTTCATGGCCATAGTATCCCAGATCATTTTACTGGATATACTAATTTGCAAAGAAAAAAACGGAGGAGGAGAACAGGAAGGAAACATTTTTATCTGTGATTTGCCTGTCCTTTGACAATTATCTTATCTGAAATGGATCGTAATTCATGCATATCCTGAGAGGAATACAGTGTACTGTTTTTGGAGCTCTTGAACTCTAATTGAACTGAAACCAAGAATCATAGCCTACCAGGAATATAGGGCAATAAAGCAAGTTTTTCTGGTTGTGTGTGTGTGTGTGTGTGTGTGTGTGTGTGTGTGTGTGTGTGTGCGCGCGCGTGTATGCAAGAAATGAGGTCAATTTAGGCATCAGGCCATTTGTTAGAGATTTCTGAAGCCATTCTTCAGATCAAATCAGCACAGAGGCTGTTTCTCACATGTTGGTCCAGCGTCCACTTACTCAGGGTCCCAGGATTCCACAGACCCTTTCCTCCTAAGGAACAGAAAGAGCCTTTTTATATGAGCCCCCCTGAAGCTGGGCGTGGAGCCTCTGTGGCCACAAATAAGGTATTTGGAAGCCTAGAGCTTTCTTTTGTCTCTCACATGCTGCTGACACACAGACCAGTACAGAACCGGAGATAATACATCCTGAAACCAAAGTGAACAAACTACTAACTCCAAGCATTTGATTTGGGTTTGACTGAACATCTGCTATGTGGAAGGCACTCAAGGCAGTGATGTGAAGAGGGCAAGACAAGACACAGTGCCTGTCCTCAAGGCTTACAATTAATGGCGTGCCATTTCCCACTTACAGCATCACAGGATCCTCTGTCACCTATCAGCGTTAACCGACAGAGATGAGAACAGAAGGGTGACCTCCATTTATCTCCTTTATTCTTAACAGGCTGAATTCATGAGGGACCTCCAGGAGCCCTCTTCAGGCCCCTGCCTGGAAGGGAGAGCTGAAATAATTTTCACAAAAAATTTGTGTCTTAGAAACAGCGGGATGTTGTCTATTATGAGACAATTAAGACTATTGAACAAAATAAAATGAATGACACTCAAAATGGTACATTTTCATCAGTACATCTTTATAATTGTGTAAATTAAACCCTTTGTCTTTAGGAGAAGTGAGTGAGAAGATGGTGGCAAGAGCTAGAATTCTAGCCGCTCTTAGAAGACAGGATTGGGTCATCTTTTTAATGATGGGAGACAATCAGAAGAAGGCACTAGTTAGTGTCAGAAGCTGGCTTGGTGAGGTGGTTTTCTCTCTGGGGGTCTGGAGAGTGTTGTGCTCCGATCGCTCACTGCCTCACGGTCTTGCCCGCTGGCTCTTTTCTGGGCGAGGAACCGAGCTGTGCCCTCTGCAGAGCTCTATAGGTGTCTGACAGCAGTCTGTGGAAGGCAGCTGTCCTGGGGCCCAGGATGGGCAGTCGGTAGCGAATGCTCTCTAGAGGACAGCGCAAGAAGGGAGGACAAGGGCTGCTTAGATTCTATTTTTAAAGAAACTCAATATGACCAAAGGTCACCAAAGATGTCCTCAACCTTCTGAAACAGATTCAAAATTCACGTAAGAATTCCCTTTTACTGGAACCATCTTCTCCCCCACAACACTTCAGCTTTTAGAGATCTTGTCAAAGAGGCTAGACAGGAGTGCCTAGAAACAAAACTCAACTAAGGAGTCCAGCCAATTAAATTAAAAATGAAGATAAAATATGTGTGGCGTTGTCACATGAGTCAAAGGGAAAGAGGATTCAATTCTCAGGAGACTTTTCAGGGGCCTGTATATGGTTCTGCTCTTCAAATAAACAAGATCTTGCCCAAAAGCCCACAGTAGGGAGTAAGTACTTGCATTTCAAAAGGAATCTTTGTTTTACAAAATAATTTGTTTAGGACTCCTCACAGTCCTTACCCTCCTGACCTCTTCTTCGGATATTATTTTGCTTATAAAAAGTTGTTAATATTCAACTTTTCCCAGGAGACACGTGGTTTGAAAGAGAGCAAATCGGGGCATGAAATGACATCTTCCCATTGCAAGTTCCTGGGTGACAAAGGGAACTGGGGACAAGCTCCCCACTCCAGCTGAATGAGCGCTGAGGCACGCCGCAAGACCACAGACCTAGGGTCCAGTTCAGTCTCATCACAGTGATGCAGAGGAAACAGAAGTCCAGGGTCATAGGCATGGACGAACTGAGACCCAGACCCCTGAGCTCTCGGTGCCATGTCACACCCCTGTGCCAGGTGGGAGGCCTGTCTCTATTCATGTTTACTGACAACAAGAGCTGTGGGTGTCGTGGACCTCTGGACTCAAGGCCAGAGTCAAGGTAAACAAATGCGGAAGAAATCCCCATCACTCCCAGAGATAGGCTCTTCCACCTACTCAGTTCTTCACTAACCATTATCAATGATACATAAAGTTTCGCCGAATCCAAAAAGTCACAAGAAGTCACTACTGTGACCAACAACACGAGTTAGACAATCATTGGCAGTACCGTTGGCAGGGATGAGTCAGCCAGCTGGTCTTTGCAGCACACCCAGCACAGGTGGGTGGCCCTTTGCAATAAGTGTGTTGCAGCAGGGACATGTCTCAGCCGAAGAAAGTAGTGTGGCTAGGGCAGTGTCAGCAGTTTTTCCAGGCAGATCAAAGGTGAAGGTTCTTTGTACTGAGGTGCTAGCTCCTGGGGCAGAGATGGTGGGGGTGGGGTGGGAGGCAAAATGCTTCTCTGGTTTTACAGGTGGGAACGCACAGGCCCAGAGAGTTTAAATGATTTGGCCAAACCTGTATAGCCAGACTGGGATCTGAAGCCAGGTCTGTCTGTTCCTAGGTGAGTGCTTTTTCTATAACCTCAGAGGACACGTCCGAGAGCAAAGCTCAGCTCAGAAAGGTCATGAAGAGAATCAACAGTAGATCTACTTGAGCTTCAGCTCCAAGCCAACGCCATAAGCACTGTCCCTTCAGTGCCACCTCCAGCATTGGGGTCCTTGGGTGGAGTCTGAGGGTGGCCAGGTCTGTCCAAGAACATAATGTGCTGATCTCACATACACCAGGTTAGCTCTTGTGCTGGTCAGCGAAACACACTCCCAGGGTTATTAGGCTGATGAAAGGCACCTTATCACGTTGTCCGATAGAATCAGAAAATAAACATTCTTGCTGAGGGAAGGGAGTGTGTGTGTGTGTGTGTGTGTGTGTGTGTGTGTGTGTGTGTGTTTCGTTCCTTTGTGAGGCACACCTGAAAAAAATCCAGGTTCAAGGGAAACTCAGAAAGAGTGTGTGGCTGGTACAGAGAACCCCGAAACCAACTGCTTATGCTCGTTACCCAGTGTGCTCTTGGCTTCAAGAGAACGAGGTGGTTGGCAGAGGGGGAGGCCTTTCGTTGAGTGCGTGCGCTTGGCTCTAAGCTCTTCTGTCCACTTTGGCTAAAAGAGAGCCATGAGCTAGGCCACCATTTTTGGATTCAAAAGAAGGGACTGATTGGGGCTAGCTGTCTTTCACTCCACTCGAGTGGATATCTCCAAACCTCAGCTGTTACCCAAGTCTCTGGTCCTCCCTTTTGGCACCTCTTCAAGACACCCCTTCCATCCTCAAGTTTTCTTTCCTGATGGCGTCTCAGTTCTGCTCTGGCTTTAGACTATCTGCAACCCCCCAGGGCAGAGCTTAGACTCCGCATCTGTATGAAGTGAGAACAGTGAGCTGGATTTTCTTTACCGTGTGTATCACGTGAAAGAAAAACTGAAGGTGGCTTCAGTTAATACAGGAGCAAATGAGAAGACAGACAAAGTTAGTAAAGTGACAGCTTATGCTGCACCGCACCCTTGAATTATGTCACCCCAAAAATGACCCCCTCCCACATTCACCCGCCCAGTGTTGCTTCTCTAAAACATGAGACTCAGGTCAATGTTGCAGCTGGACATAAAGCCACTATCCCTTTGTCTGTTAACAGCAAGTGAACATAGACAAGCCCTGGGCAGCTTCCGGGAGAAGGCAGGTGTTTTAGGAAGCCCATGGGTTGGAAGTTTCAAGGCCATTCCAGGGGGGTGAGAATGCAGTTCCCTTCCCACAGTAATTGGTACTATCAGGTTTTTGTGAACTTATCCCCACAGGCAAAGGAAATAAAAGCAAAACTAAATGAATGGGACTCTGGGACTCTACCAAACTAAAAAGTTTCTGCACAGCAAAAGAAACCATCAACAAAACAAAAAGGGAACCAATGAAATGGGAGAAGATATTGCAAACGATACCACCAATAAGGGGCTAATATACAAACATTTAAAAGAACTCATACAGGGGCCGGCTGAGTGGCTCAGTTGGTTAAGAGCTCGCTCAAGAGTTTGAGCTCTGAGCAACAGCGGTTCGAGTCAGCCCGAGCTGAGCAGCCGTGAGCTGCCAACAGGTGGCGGGATGGCTCAGCTAAAAAAAAAAATAAATAAAAAAATAAAAAAAAAAAATAAAAAATAAATAAAAGAACTCATACAACTCAACAACAAAAGAACAAACAATCCCATTAAAAAATGGGCAGAGGGCCTGAACAGACACTTTTCCCAAAAAGATTTACAAATGGCCAACACATATATGAAAAGATGCTCAACATCACTAGTTATAAGGGAAATGCAAATCAAAACCACAATGAAGTACCACCTCACACCTGTCAGAATGGCTGTTATCAACAAGACAAATAATAACAAGTGATGGAGTCGACGTGGAGGAAAAGGAACCCTCATACACTGTTGGTGGGAATGTAAATTGGCACAGCCGTTATGGACAGCAGTGTGGAGGTTTCCTCAAAAAAATTCAGAATAGAATTTCCATATGATCCAGCAACTCCTATTCTGGGTATCTACCAAACAAACCCGAAAACATTTATCCATAAAGATACATGTACTGCTGTGATCATTGCTGCATTAGTCACATAGCCAAAACATGGAAACAATGGAAGAGTCCTTAGATGGATGATTGGATAAAGGAGACATGGTATATATACACAATGGAATATTACACAGCCATAAAAAATGATGAAATACTGCCATTTACGACCACATGGATGGATCTTGAGCGTATTCGCTGAGTGAAATAAGTCACATGGAAAAGAACAAGAACCTTATTATTTCATTCATATGCAGGATATTAAATCGAAAGCAACAAATTAACAAACAAAACAAACAAACAAACAAACTCATAGACACAGGCAACAGAACAATGGCCGCCAGAGGGGAAGGGAGGGTCGGGGAGGATGAAGAAGGTAGAGGGGATCAAACATATGGTGTCGGAAGGAGGCGAGACGCTGGGTGGTGAGCACACAGTGCAATATACAGAAGATGAGTTACAGAATTGTAGACCTGAAACTTACAAGTTGTCAAACTTATTTTACAAACTTAAAATAAGTTTGTAGGCCTATAAACTTATAATATAAAATTTATATATTATAATATAATATATAAATATATTATATTTATTAATACAATATAAATAATATAATAATTTATATTATATTAATAAATATAATATAATTAATATATTAATATATGTTAATACCTTGAAATAATAAATTAATTTTATTAATTAAGCAAAGTTAATTTTTATTAATTAATAAAATTATTAATTTGTTGCTTAATAATCAACAAGTAATTATTTGTTGATTATTGTTAAATAATAATTGGTTAATATTGTTATTAACCAATGTTACCCCAATAAATTTAGTTTTCAAGAAGAGAGAATGGGAATTTGTTTAGAAAATTGAGAAATTCTCTTTGGGATTAAACTTGCCATTCTGTTACTCTTGGGGTAGAATGCCTCTCATCACACTTACTCCAAAAGCAAGCTAACCTGTTCGGATGTCATCACAAGGACCCTCAGGTACAGTCTGAGCTTTTGGTGGCTGAAGATTCATCATCCTGATTGGAGAAAGCAAGGAAACAATTAGTTACTTGACTAGGGCTTGCTGGGAAGAAGCGCGTCCTCATACATTTTATTAATAAAACCGAGATGGTCTCTTGAATCCAGCACTTGTTAGCCTGGTACTGAGTCCACTTCGCAGCAAAGACCACTGGGTCAAACTTGCAAAAATAAACTACTTTTTAATGAAGTGCTCAACTTACAAGATAAATAAATTGGGGCAACAGATTTCAAAAGTCTCCTTCACAGAACAGTGAGCTTCTGCTCAGAAATCCTGAGCTTCGATAGTTCAGTTTTCCGTTTAAAGTCAGTAAAGAATATTTATAAGAATTACTTTTGCTGTAATCTGACCTAAGGGTTTTTTTAAAGTATGGAGTCAGTGGAGGTGAACGTTAACAGTGACGGAGCCTGTAGTGCCCATATACCTATTTCCTCCATGATCCTGTCTACCTGGGCCAGGCACCACGGTTTGGATGCAGCTGAGTCTACACCTCAGCTTGAAACAAACGGCCCTGAGGTGCACAAGGAATCTAACAGCTACTGCTGTCCAACATAAGGTTACAAAAAGGCCCATTTATTTTTCCCACATTACTGCTGTCCGTATGAGGAAAGAAAGTGATCGATTGTTATTAGATCACATATAACTTACTTTTTAAAAAAATTTTCCATTACAGTTGACATTCAATATTATATTAGTTTCAGGTGTGTAGTGTAGTGGCTAGACATTTATGTCACTTACAAAGTGAATCCCCCACTCCTGATAAGTCTAGTACCCACCTGACACCATACATAGTTATTACAATATTATTGACTATATTCCCTATGCTGCACTTTACATCCCCATGACACATATAACTATTTTGACTGGTCATGTGTAAGGGTGACTGTGTGTCTACCATCTACTGCAAAGCAAGTCTACCTACCTTCCTGCCTGATCCAGGGTGAGTCCATGTTTTGAGTGTTTTAATAAAGTAAAAACTGAGTCCTTCTTCCCTGTCTGATAGTTAAATACAGAAAAAGAAAAAGAAAAAGAAAAAACCCCCTGAAATCCAACTCATCAGAATTCTTATTTGTGATATTGGTTCTTATTTGTGATATACTTGATCTTGATAAGAAAGCAGCAAATGACAACCCAACAAACTGATAACAGGCACTTTAGTGACTAACCAGCAGCAGAGGCTGCCCAGGACTCATGGCAGATTCTGTGTAACCTTCTGAGTTCGATGTCTCACCTACATGGAGAGTTCATATTTAGGTCTGCCTAAGATATCACAGAAATCTCCCATCCGATTCTTTGTGCTGTTCTTGGGAAGGTGGAAAGGATGGTGAAACCTTCCCCTGTCGTATCAATTGTTGTTCAAGCAAAAAAGGTGCAAACAACTTTTTGGGTCTAACTATCTGATTTAACCAGAAAACAAAACCAGTCAAGAAGCCCACCCCCTAAGCACCCCCTAAACATTCTGCGTGCTGTGTTTCTCCCTCCACTGTCCCGTGTCCCCAAAATAAGGGAATCAGAGTGAAAGTCGTGTCCCCATCTAAACCTTTGACTCACCTACGACTCATAAAATTGTTGAAGGGTAGTTTCCCATCCCCTGGGATCATCATAGTTCTTGATTGTGCCTGAGGAAAAAAGTCTCTGTTAGAAGAGGGCTCCAAACTGGATTCCAACTCATATAAACAATGTATCCCCTTAGTAAAGTCAAGTGGTATTTAATGCCAAAGTCATTTGTGCTTCCTTTTGTGATACAAACGAACTGGAGGGGCTCCCCTCCCCCCTGATCATAGGGTCCTTGTTCTCCCCTGGTTATCAGATTTGAAAGTTAGATACTTCAAGGTCAGTAAGCCTTCCAGTTCTCTTGGTTCAGGTCACCCCAACATTCTTCAGGCATCAAGTTAACTGTCACTGTCTTCCAGACACGGCTGACCCGGGACTACTGGGCAGTCCTCTGCCTCGCGACCCCTTTGCTCTCTGCCTTCCTCTCCCAGTATACTCATGCCTCTTTTATTGTATACACTTGCTTGACGTCTGGCTTCCCTCACAGGCTTGCAGCTTCGTGAGGGCACAGACCACATCTCTTTTTGGTATTTCCAGGTCCTAACACAGTGCCTGTCAGAGAAATATTTGCAAGCTCTGAGCAACAGGGTCGCCGGTTCGACCCCCGGCCTGAGCTGAGCTGCCACTGAGCTGCCAACAAGTGGCAGGAGGGCTTGGCTAAAAACAATAAAATTTAAAAAAAATTAGTGAATGAATGAACGCACTCTGAAGCACAGTTGAAAGCGGTAAGTATGCCCTCTGTACAGCTGTCCCGGGTGACTTTCAGTAGGTATCTCTTCCACACTAAATAACTGAGCTCCAGTCCAGGGTAAGTTACACAGGAGTCTGAAGAGTTACTCAACCCAGGTCCTGTTTAGAATACGACTTCATTCTTTTGCATGTGGATATACAGCTGTTTCGGTATCAGTTATTGAAAAGACAATTCTTTCCCCATTCCGTTGTCTTGGCAACCTTGTCAAAAAATCAATTGTTCATAAATATAAGGGCTTATTTCTGGGCTGTCAATTATATGCCCTTGATCTAGACGTCTATTCTGATGGCAGTTACCAAAAAGCCCTTTTTTTGAAATTGGGAAGTCGGATTCTTTCAACTTTGTTCTTCTTTTTCAAGGTTATTTTGGCTCTTCTGCATCTCTTACATTTATTTCCATATGACTTTTAAGGTGTTTGTCAATTTCTGCAAGAAAGGCAGCTGGGATTTCGCACTGAATCTATCGATCTCTTCAGGGGAGTCTTGCCGTCTTAATATTGTCTTCCAATTCGTGAACACAGGGTTCTATTTTTTTTTTATCTTCTTTGATTTGTTTCTATGATATTTGACTGTTTCTGATGTGCAAGTCTTACATTTCTGTTGTTAAATTTATTCCTAAGTATTTTAATTTTTGATGCTATTTTAAATGGAATTTTTTCTCAGTTTCAGTTTTGGGTTACTCATTACTAGTGTACAGAAATAAAGTTCATTTTTGTATATTGATCTTATAGCCTGTAACTGCTGTACTCACTTGTTAGCTCTACTAGCTGTGTGTGTGTGCGAGCCTTAGACTCTCCACATATAAGATCACGTTACCTGCAAAGTCCCCCACTTTCCTTTCTGGATGTTTTTATTCTGTGCCCAGCTCCGTCATTCTGCTGGCTTACCATTTTCATTTCTCGACATGTGGAGCACAGCTGCTTGTTTCTGATCAGCATGGGGTCACTCTGGTTCCTCCTGGCCTGAGAAGAGAGAGACAAGAGGCAGGAAATGCTGCGGTTTCTGGGGCAGCAAAGAAGTGTGTGGGGGGGGGAGGGGTAGAGTTAACAGTTATTCTGTCTATAAGACAAAGATGGCCACTTTGGTCTCACCCCCACCCCTCCCTGCCCAGGTGGACCTTGAATCTAGGCTTGGTTGCAGCTGGTAGGTGCAGAAAGGGTTTGGGCAGGAGGGGGTGAGTCACAGGCTCCGGGCCCCTGACTACAGCGGGGCAGGTATAAGACAGCTGGCAGAGGGGGGGGATAGGGCTGGGGGTAAAATGCAGCGAGGTCTTTCTTTCCAACCTGAGCATGCGATCTGAGAGACTTTATTCCCTGGGAGGTGGCACATGTTACCCATTTTATACAAAGGATCCCACCATCGGGACTAGCTGAGGACCTCTAGCGGCCTGAGAAAAACAATGAGTAGGAGACGCCCGCAAACCTCCCTTCGCTGGCCCCTCTGACGGATCACCCTCTTTTCTCATGCCTTCACTCTGGCCAGACATCAGTCAGCTCTCCAGGATACACTCACTGTCCAGTACACACGGGCCCTTCTCAGCCTCCCGAGAGCCATGACTGAGCCATTAAGCAGAGCTGGAGCTGGTGTGTGGGTCCTGAGCTCCTTGCCCCTCTGGGGGACACAGGCTGGCCCAGCCAGGGCAGAGGGGCAGTGGGCCCCCGCCTGCTCGCTGCAACACTGCTTTCTTCCTGACTGCACTTCTGCCGGAGGGTACAGGGAGGAGGGCTCGGAGCACTTCCACCTGCAACAGGAGGCTCTCAGTCGCATCTCTGGTGAAAGTCTGCTGAGGGAGGGAGCGAATGGCAACCGGAGTCCACGGCTGGGTCTGGGTATTCTCAGCCATTGTCACTCTCAGATATCAGAGTTGTGGGACATACTCATAGGACGCGTAGCATATTGGGGGGCGAAGCGGGGGGAAGCAGGAGGGCCACAGGCACAAGCAGGTGATCGCTGTGAGCTGACGCCTGCTCCTGCCATGTCATCGACTTGCTGGCCTATCTACCTGTGTGCACACCTGAGCCCTGGCCCGTTCCCGCTGCCCCAAGTGGTGTGTGAATCAGGAATCTGCCCGCGCAGTGTGGGGAGTGCCTGGCTGTGCTCCTAATGTGGCCTTTGCCAGATGGGTCTGCAGGTATCTGCATCCTGGGACAGGCAGGGACTTGCATGAGGAATTGCTGGGGGCTTGAGGACTGAGAAGCATGGACAGTGTTGGATGCTTTTCACAAACACTGAAAATACGTTTCCTTTTCACAGGCCATTTTAAAAGAATCGACTCAGTATTACCCAATGTCGTGGGTTGGTATGTGGAAGGACGAGTGTGAATGACTGGATTTCTTTCATTCAACAACAAACGTTTTCTGTGAGGCTACCATGTGGAGGGCGCAAAGATGAATAAGACATTTTCTGGCCTGAGGGAAGATCAAGGAAGACCCCAGATCCATTAATGTGCCCATTTATTATGTACTGGGGACACCGAGGTGGCTAAGACATGGCTTCTAAACTGTCGCCACCCGGCAGACAGTGTACAATGGTGTGAAAGGCATTTCAATAGACATACAGTGAGGCCGCTTGGGTAGGGGGTGGGTCATAGACGGAAGGGCCTGAGAAGGGTGAAAAGGGCAGGCAAATGAAGGGTGGAGAACGACCTAGGTGCTCTGCTTCAGGTAACCGAGGAGTCCTGGGAACGGCCAGATTGTCTGGTGGGAGGAGGGGTGGAGTGAGAAGGAGACGAGAGAGGAAGTTCCCTGTGTGCTGCCGCCTCTGCCTCCGGGAAGATTCCACCCTCTCCCACATCCTTCCTGCGCCCTGGGGGCGGTATCTCCTGGGGCCGTGCTCCTTCCCTCCATCCTCCTGTCCCTGAGTTCTGAGAGTAAGACCACCTCTCGAAAATGGCGAGTGAAGCTTGGACGCACCAGGTATCAAGGAAGGAGCAACGGAGCTTCTGGGACTTCAGAAAAGAGGGAGCCCGCGTCCCCCTGGAGGAACCAGGAAGGGCTTGTCGGGGTGGCCTTGGATGAGGAGCCCTGGGCGGGTGGAGGTGGGTAAGGGAGGCTCCTGGGGCAGCTTGGTTTTGAGTGGAGTCATAAGCAGAGACTTGTGTTGCCTGCAGCTGGCTCCTTCACCTTTCCTAGACTTCCGGTTTTGGCATACGGACCCCACTGGACCCCCTCAGGGATTGGAATCGCAGAGATCACTGCAAACCAAGCAATCTGCAAGGTGCATGGCAGGAGCTTGCCAGGCTACTGACGAGTAAATGTGGCTGCCTAGTCCCCCCGACCCAGTGATGGTCGTCTAAAGGATGGAGTGTTTCTATATTGCCCTCCTCCTTTAAGACATAGCGTAGGTGCTACTTTCTCAGAAAAACCTTTCTCCTGACTCTCCCACCACTTTGCGCCCCGCTAGCCTAAGTTGCGTGCCCGCTTCTCTGATTCCATCCTAGAGTCTGCTGTAGCTTTTTGGACTGGGTGTGCTTGTTTTCTCCACCCGGCTGAGAGTTCGTTAAGAGAAAGAACACGCCTCACGCATCTCTGTATTCCTAGTCTACCGCAGAATCCTGCGCACAGCAGACATTTGACACAGCTGAATGAATGAGTCATTGTAAGCATTTGCAACTATAATACCAGGTATGAATACAGACATAACCAACATACATGGGTATTAGATGTAAGTACCTAAAACAGAAGATACACATGTATGTGTGTGAAGGTCACCATTATAACGCTGTCTTAGGGGAGCGTTACGGGATGTCGTGAGCACCACGTTCATTCCACTCAGGGTGCTGGAGAAAGGCACTGGCTGGGAGCCCAAAATGCTCTGTCCCAGACCTGGTTCCATGAGCGACCCGAGTGACTCTGGTCAATAGCATAACACTCTGGGCCTCCCAGCCCTTGCTGCCGATGGTCTCTGTGGCCAAAAGGACCGAGGAGGGCTCTACTCCTGCCCGCACTTTACAGGTGGAGGTGAAAGCCTTTGATGTGGGGCTTCCGTCACCTCTGCCAGGAATGTGGCAGTGAGTGACCCCACCTGAGACTCACTGTCAGCTGACACTTGGCCTCTGAGAAGAGATACTCCATTCCTCTGCATTTGGAGAGGAGGGTGAGGGCACTGGGGTGCAGTGGGCCGTGTTTACACAGCATGGAGGCAGCTGGCTAGGCATGTCCTGTGCAGACAGTCCACCAGGCAGTGGATGCAAGCCGTTTGGGACTCCCCGTTCTGTGGGCCTCAGCTTCCTCTCTCCTGCCCGCTTTCTTCCCCAGCCCTGAAGCCACAGTCTCTTGCTTCTGCTCCTCCCTTTTCACTCTCACTTTCCTTAAGGCCAGCTCAGCAGCCGTGGCAGGCATAGAGGGTGAACTGGCCAGTGGGTCAGAGCATGGGCCTCTGCTTGTCAAAGATCCACGAGGAAACAGTCTCTGAGATATTAATGGGGTTCTCCTTTCCCTAGCAGCTGTCCCCAGGAGCGCAGATGGCAGTTGTGATGGGAGAGTGACAGCAGCCTCTTGTAACCTGGCCAAGATCTGATGAGGTTTCAGCCAGTCCTCTCACATTTCACAATTGGAAACATCCTAATATCTAAGGTCAGTATCTGCTGAGGTCCTTAAGATCTGGCTCGGGGCCCATGTCCTGGGCCTCCTTGAATCTTCGATAAAGAGACAGAGAAATGCCATCTCAAGCATGATTGGAGAAGCACTGACAAATTTGCCTCCATCCTTCCTGCCCTTCGACACCTGTATCCCTTTTCTCCTTTCCACTCCTGCTCGAGCTGAGAGACATCTCATCGGTCCTCTAGCTCCACTCGTCCAATGAGCACAATGACACAATTAGGAAATTGTGGCCCAGAAAGGTTAAGCTCTTTGTCAAATATCACATCTGTTTAGTTCCAGTCAGCCGGGAAGTTCTCCGGATAAAAAGTCAAAGGAAGCCCATCTTTCCTCAGGGGACAGTAGACACTTAGGATCCACATGAAGGCACAATGATGTCCATGTCCCTTAGAAGTCAAAAAACGGTGGTCGGAGAACTATTCTCAATATTCCAAAACAATACCCTGTGGTAATTAAACATTTTTCTGCTCTCTGAAAACACCAGCCATCTCAATTAAGCAATAAAGCTGAATATAGTTTTAAAAATTCTGTTACCAAATCACTAGAAACAACTTCAAACACACACTTAAAACAAGCGATAGCCGTGTTCCTCCCATCCTGACTTAGCAAACTTGGTTTTTACTACATCATTGTTTCAGGCCGGTGGTGTTATTGCTTCCTTTTTAAAAAAAATTGTAATTGTAGCTATATATGTTTGATCAATACAAACAGGAGAAAAACTTAGGTGTACACACAATAGTTCCCATGGTGGTCATGAGCTTTCAAAAACTGAGTCAATGAGAGGAACGATAAAAAGTTTCCTTGGAGGTGAGAAAATTGGAAGTCACCAGGGCTTTTTGTCACAGGTCTGCTAAAAGCAAAATAAATAATGCCCCATCTTTACTCTGACTCATTCAGCAGGAACGACACCCCCAGATCAGAGAGGGGGCAAGGATGGAGAGATTGGGGCAGCGTTTTACCCACCCGTGAGTGTCTGGGGGGCTCGTCAGGTACACCGACCCCAGCATGTAAGCAAAGGGGTGCAGGGTCTCCGGCTGCAGTGCTCCAGTCACCCCCACACATCTGCTCAGTCTTGCCCCGGAGTTCTGACTAAGCTGCCTCTTGGCCCATTATCCAACTATCTTATTACACTTCCCTGCTTCTCGGCACCTTCCGGAGTCCTGACTCAATGCCGGTAAGTGGCAGGTGAAAGTCATGACTAAGAGAGAAGCAGCTTTCCAGGAGAGGCTTCCATGGGGATGTCTGGGCTGCATTTCTTTGTTTGCTATCTTTCTGTGTTGGGACCTCTCCTCTTCTGTCTCCTTTTTGGTGTTTCTGTCTCCTCATCTCCCTGTTTGTCTCCCTCTCCCGGTCTTTCTGTCTCTGAGCCTCTGTTTCCTCTCTGTCCACCAGGGACAACAGTTCCAGACATGCAGATCCCTGCACCGCCCCGGGACAACTCCTGCGACGGGAGGAATGCCACTGTGGGTGTTCAAAGTTCTGCACTTTGACCTGTGACGGTGAAGAGGACGGGGGCCAGGTGGCAGGACCTCTGCACTGTGCCCAGGGGACAGGAGCCGCTGGTTGGCCGCAGGGCTGCTGGCAGCTCTTGGAAGGTCCCCAATTTAGAGGCTGAGAGGTAGCATGTCCACAGTGCATTCCACTCCCTTGAGATAAAACATCACGTCTTCCCAGAATGGAGCAGCTGTGATGGCTGACGTCACAGCTGACATGCTCAGGCCTTCACTTTTGCAGCCAGCTCGGGGGATGAGGAATCCGTGTGACAGTCAGGTATCTGACTTGAGGTACCTGCCAGGTGTCCCAACAGAAGAGGGGTCCCGAGTTCCCTATGAAGGGTGGCAGAATATGCCTCTCCCAAGCATGCCACTGTGGCATAAGTATTATTTTGAGCTAAAGGCACTTTATATAAACAGAAGGTACAAGAAGCGTGCTCTGACCCTCCCCCCTTTCTTTCTAAAAGTGGGAGCTCAAACCCTATATGGAAGAGGTTCTCCTTAAACCAGGAGGAAAGCAACACTCTTATCATCAAGGGCAAGAAGACGAAGCTGAGAGTGCTCTCCACAAACGGACTTTGTTTAAATAATTCTCTCCCTTAGCCTCGGCGCAGCTTACTTGCCCACGATTGCCTCTCTTCGCTTGGCCAGTATACATTTAGGTTTTACCACTTTTTTCGGTCTTCATTTCCTTACGAGAGCTCCCGTGTCATGTAAAACTTACAGTAAATAAGTGTGTATGCTTTTCCCCTGTTAATTCGTCTTCGGTCAGTTTAATCCTCAGGCCCCGCTAAAAACCCTGGCAGCAAAGGTGAAATTTTGCCCCCCTTGACACACACACACTCACGCCCGTGCACGCGCGCAGGGCCAGCCCCTGGCAGGGTGAGGGTGAGGTACCTGCGTTCTCCTTTCCCAGTAGGAGTCGTGGACTGGTGACCTCCTCAGTCGCCCAGGGACCGGTCTTTCGGGCTCCGCCCCTTGGCCCAGACCTGGACGCTGTCGCTCTCGGCTGCCATCTAGCGGCCGTCCGTGAGTATTGCAGCCACGAAATTCGGAGCCCTGCGGAAGGTGGGCCTCTCACTTGTCTGGGCTCTTAGCAATGCCTTCCCTCCTCCACTTCCCGCCCAGCCAGTCTGGTGCCTGGAGACTTAGTGCCTCGGATGGCATGGCGCACTGAGACCCAGAGCAAACCTGGGATGAGGAGGCGCTCGGTGGCAGGGGGAGCCTGTCTACATAGGAAATTCAAGGAGACTGAGTGACTACAAGACTTCCTTCTTGCTGGCTCTGCAGCAGCTGCCAAGCTCAGCGTGTTTTTGCTTAGCCCCTCCGTGCATGTCATGGTGCCACTCTTCCCTACTTGCCTGCCCAGGGTATTAGGGGGAGTAATGCGGTGCTTCTCAAGCGCAGCCGTGCCCCGGACCCTCCTGTGCTCTGGCCGGGCCCACCCATTTTCTTGGGTCCCTTTCATAAGCTCCTGCCAGCCTGAGTCCTCTTCAAGCGCGTCCTGCACGCTCAGTCTCCACGTCAGGCTCCAGGGCCGTTCCTCCACTTGTGGAGATAATATCTTCCAGACCCGGTGCACATGCCACTTCCTCCTGAATCCAGCCCTCACACCATCTCTGCTCGCCCCTCCCCCACCCTGCAGATGCCCTTCCCTTCCACCCCTGTCTGGTACTTTGTCCCGCTCTCTGATGCTTAGGGTGCAGTCATGGACCTGTCCGTCCATCCCTCTCATTTGGGCAGGTGGCATTTGACTTGCTTATCCCTGTATCCGTATGAAACCAGATAGAAAGGGGTCCGTAGCATGTATCCAGTGACATGAGGGTTTGGCATAATTGTGGCCCCACTCCCGGAGCTCTGGCTGCGAGCCAGGCCCTGTGCCAAGCGCTTCAGGAACACTGTTTCATGGCCTCCCTACACCAGCCCTGGGAGTGCTGGGCAGGTTTTCAGGTGAAGAAACTGTTGATCTCCCTGAGTTCTCTCTCTTCCTCAGGAAGGTGCTGACTTCACAAGCACCAGGAGTGTCGGGAACCCTCTGAGCAGCACAGTGCCACTGAGTGTCACCCAGAAGCCAGTCATGGTGGACTTCTGGGAGGTGGAGGGGAGAGGAGGATGTTTTAATGTGAAATCCCAGGGATGTAGGGTCAGAGGTGGGAGGCCTGAGGGATTCGTGGCGGTGATGGGAGGGGATGAGAGGCCCCAGAAAGTAGGTCTGGTTCTGGACACAGGCTGAGAAGTGGTCTTGGAAGGTCTCAGGGCAGATTCCTCAACGTGAACACTTTTGGTTTCCCTTCTTGATGAGTCTAACCTCATGCCTTCATTCTCAGCTCTGGTGGATGGAAGCCCTAAGGCACTGCAGCTGGGGTGGGGGAGGTGGGGCTCATTCATTTCATTCAGCCAATACCTGCTGAATGCTGACATGTCCCTGGCTCTGGCTGTGCTAAAGAGATAGGAAGTGCCTTTGTGTTCACATTACGTGTCACCCTAGAACTGCAATGAGCTTCTTTTCAATTAAAGAAAAAAAATGTTTTTGAGTACCTTAGATAAGTCATTTGGAACTGGAAACAAAACTGGCAAATGCATATCCTTCTTGGATGAAATCAGAAAAGTGGCAGAAGCATGGGGATATCTGAGCAATCAAAACAAAAGCAAGTTAGAACCACAGTCTCTGAAGAGCCAGGCCCTTGGTTGTTTCAGAGAGAGCCCAAGGGACACCCCCAGGAGCACCCCACCCCCAATCCTGGAGGACCTGGGCCACTCTGGAGGTCCCAAAGGTGGCTTTGCCCTCATAAGTCACTCTGCCTTCTCTCCCCCTTTTGTTTTGAACTAACCAGTGCCAGCTGCAGCTTGTCAGAGACAGTGTACAAATTCAGAGGGGGAAAAAAATTGTTCATAAAGCAGATGTGTGATGGGTGAAATTCACCAGACCTCCTTCTTAAAAAGACCTGCATAGAAGTTACTGATCTTGAATGCGTGCCGTGCTTTCGTGCCTGGCCTGTTGTCTTGGAGCCCGTGGCCCTGCACACGGAAACAATCCACCCATTTCCTCCCATGGAAATTTTCTCTCTCCAACCACATTTTTTCCCTGGAACATTCTTTCTTTCCAGTTGCAGGAGAAGTAGTGAGGCTGCAGAGGTCACACCAGTGACCCGTCTCGCTGGCCGGTGGGGTCCGTTTAATACAGTGTAAGGGCCAAGGTGTCCAGGGGACCTGCCCATGTGTGCCATGCCAAGCACCATGCATGCCCCTGACCTCCAAGAAAAGGAAACTCGGAATGATGGGAGTTTTGCCAAGAACACCTCTCCTCTCTAATGAGGGCAGACTTCACTTCCATTGTTCATTTATAACAAGGCCTTTGGGAGGACTTAGGTGTTCAGGAGGCATTTATTGTTTCATTTTCCTGGGCTCAGGGAAAGCAGGGAGGTGGGTCTGATGCAGCCCCTTCACTGTCTGCACTTGACACCCGAAAGCTGACCAGGAGAGAACAGGGGCCACTTTAGAATGCATTAGCACACAGGAATCTCAAATAAAGGGACCTCTGTGTGACCTGAGGGCTTTTCAGACTGAAGACGAGAATGACTTCAGCATAGCCAGGCCACCCTGCACGACGTCCTCCAAGGCAGTGGGTCTGTACAGACACTGACCTTCAGACCGTTTCCTCCAACCCCCAGCTGTGTTTCCAGAGCTCGAGGCTGGAGGTGCTCTGAGTACATTTCACTCAATGTCCCTTTCTCTTTTTCAGACTGTTCTGTGTCAGAACTGCTTGTCCACGCCTAGGTAATACTTTGAGCACATTCAAAACTTTCTGACCAAGATCTCAGAAAGGGGTTTTGCCAAAAAGAAACAGCTTGGAACCCAGAGCTTTGCCCAGATGAGGTGTTTCTAATCCTTAAGAATTGTTGATACTTAAACAAACCAGGTCCTTTCAAAGTCTTTGCATCCCTAGCGTGTCTTCCCCAAAGCTCAGGGCACCTCACAGGTGTCCAGTGACTGTCTTAGAGTTCCCATGAGGTAGGTAAGTGCCATTTCTCTTAACAAGGGTTCGGATTGCTGCCCAGCCCCTCCCAGTACAGACAGGAGCACAGCTTCACTGACCACCTTAGGTAGCGACTAGCTCGAGCTTGGCTGGCCGGAGGAAAAGCAATCTGTCCCCTTCCCAGCTGACTGTCCACAGGCTGGCCCCTCCAGGACACTCCAGGACCTGGCTGTGAAATGCACAGGTTCTGAGGGCACCCAGCTGTGTCTGGGCCTGCCTTGTGCCTCCCTCCCCACCCTCTACCAAAGACTATATAATTAGGGAAGGAGGGAGCTGGGGGCGAGAGAGCCACGCACAGGATGCTTTGCTTTGGCTGGAGGGCAGGTCTAATGGGCATGGGGGGGGGGGATAGTGGGATGTTACAATATTTAGATGTCCAAAACTAGCCATTTTCACGTAAAGATCCAGATTTCTGGTGTTGTGTGAAAACCCATCAGATCTGGCTACTGAAGTCATATGCCTGCAGGCAACATGGACTGGGGTAGAGGGCAGACTGTCCCCCCTTGTCAGGGAGGTGAGCTTCCTTCACCCCAGTGCCCATTTAGCCAGCTCTACTCATTTATGTCATCAGACTATCATTGCTACGTGAACTTGTGACCTGGCCCCAATGAAAAGATGCTAAATGGTCATCACTCATGCTGATCCTTCAAGCGCTAAAAGCTCTTAAAAAGAACTACATCACCTGTGTGTTTAGTTCGTAAATAAGCCTTTGGGTTGATTGACTCTCTGAGTGCCTGTTTTACACTAAGACATTAGCTAGAGTTTAGGAATACTCAGTTATGTAAAAATAACAGAACCGAACAACAAGCCCTTCATAGATGCTCTGAAAATACGCAAAGCTGCTGCTTATGGAGAATGTGGTTTTGACATGGCGCAGCAGACCAAACAATGGTGCACGTTATTGGGGTGGGGACATGGAGAGAATGTGCCTCATGGAGAGTCACTTATCTATGGGCAGGAGGGTACGTAACAGTTGCCAACAGGAGGAAAAACTTTTTAGAGAGCACAACCTCTCTAGCAAACTGTGCACGTGTCAGGGAGAGAGGCTTCCATCTATGACGTGCCTGCAACCTTGCCCACGCCCTTCTCTAGCCCTCCTCCTCTTCCTCGATTCACCCCCACATCACGTCACACTCACCCTTCCTTCCACTTCCCTCCCCAGAGCTCACCACATCCAGGGATCAAAACTGGGGAAGGGATGAGGAAATGCAGTCATTTCAAGTGGCAGCACTGAAAGGCACCCTGCACCCCAACCCCCCAGTTCTGAAAAATGAAACGTATGCTCCACAGCAGGTTATTTGGAAGGGGCAGGACTGATGAGCCTGGAGGAGACCGTCTCAAAGCTATACACAGGCCGTTGCTACTCTGTAAAGACAGGGAGTTATGGTTCTCGACTTTTGATGGCTAAAATTTGAAAATTTCAAACTAAAACAGCGGAGAAAAGGTAGGATGCCAAGGAGGTTGAAAGTGTGTTCAGAGGCAGTGTCCATGGGCGAAATTCTCTTGATGGTTGCATGGTGGTGGCAGAGGGGGAGGTTACTGAGATCTGACCTCCGCCAGCCAAACCCTAGACTCAGCACTCACTTTTGTCTGAAACACCCAGGCCACTCCTGCTTTTTGAGTCCTCGACTTGGGTTTCTCAGCTGAGCAGATGTGTCTCACTGGTAATCCCCCCGACCCTTCTTCCTAAGAAACCACCTTCGGTGAGACCTTTCTTGCTACCTCGCCCCCAGAGGCTGAGCTGTTACCTTTTGGGGAGGCTGAGGACTAATGGCTTGTTTGTGAGGCTGGCTTCACTAAACCAAGGAATCTTGTCAAACTTTGGAACAGGCACCTGGAGAGAAACGGAAAGAGGTCATTTTGCAGAATTCATGACCCTTGACCGCTGCCGTCATGAGGTCGACCAGGGTAAGCTAATAGCAGCTATAGAGCAGTCAACACATTACAAGACGTGTTTTATGATTTATATCTGACCCTTGAGTCTCCCATAAAGTAGCCAAGAGCAAACAGCGTTGTCTCCATTGGACAGATGAAGACATGAAAGCTCAGATAGTGTGACGGGCGGGGTCACACGGCTAGGGAGTGGATTCAGGTTTTCTGACTTTTGTGTCCGCTGTATCTTGTGTCCTGCTATATCTGTTTGTACATCCTCTAATATTTCCATGAACTCCGCTGAATATTAAACAACCTCCTATTCAAAGTCTCTGGCTGTTTCGGCCACAGGGGCCTCCGCCCTCATCCCTTGTAGGAGGCAAAGAGGAAAGAACCACTTTGAAGCTACAGACAACTGGGTATGAATGCCGGTTAATCCGCTTCCCGGCTGCGTGGCCTTGGACCAAGCACAAGCTCTCTGAGCCTCAGTTTCGTCTTCTCTGAGCGGTGGACGGGCATCACATCACAGGCCAATGCACAAGACCGAAAGCTCCACGACAGCAAGGACTCCGGTCTGTTTCACTCACGGCTGTATGACCAGCACCTAAATCAGCGCTTGGTCCTTGCAGGTACTCGGTTGCTGTGTGTCAAATGAACGCACAGAGGCCTGGGAAGCCCCTAGCTCAGCGGCTGACTCCTTACTAGGAGCTCAAGCAAAGCAGCCCTTACTCCCTGCCTTCCAGCAGCGCAGCCTCCAGCCCGGCCTTCGGATGCCGCCTTGGGTGGCGGGGCTGCTGTCCTGGGCCCCTGGCGGCCGCTCCACCGGGGAGCAACCGGGCGGTCCCCCGGGCGGCCACGAGGGGGCAGCAGCGCGCTGGCGGCCCCGCCGGCCGCGGAGGTGGCGGGGGACCCGGAAGGACCGCCCCGCGCCCCGGATGGGGAAGGAGGCGGGCGGCTGCCCTGTCCCGGCCGCGCGCCCCAGCGGACTGGCGGGCAGGTGGGTACCGAGCGCTCCGGGGCGTCTCCTCCGCCGCCATCCCCGCAGGCCCCAGGCCGGGTGAGGGGCGGCGGCGGCGGGGGTGGGGTGGCCGGAGGGTGAGCGGGGCGCCCCGTCGCAGCCCTGTCCCCGACCCGATGGGCGGGCGTTGCCCTCTCGGCGCCCCGGACCTTCCAGCCCGGGCGGCGGCCGTGGGAAGCCCAGGCTGGGGTCCCTGCTGCCGTGAGGGGGGCTCCCCGGGGGCCTGGCCTGTGCAGCCAAACCTGCCGTGGTCTCCACGGAAGCGAGAAGGTCGCGCCGTAGGAGTTGCCTCCGCAGGTTTGCTGGACGACCTGGGTGTTTCTGACTCTTAGTTTTCCCGTGGTGGAAAAAAAGGGGGTTTTGCCGTTGTAAGCAGGACGCTGGCTCTTTAAAGAACGTTAACCTCGGTTGATGCGTCCGGAACTGTCCCTGCTTGGAGTCCTAGGTTTGGGCTGAATAAGCCGGAGAGCTCACACGTGTCCGTATGGGGCAGTGCACTGTCGCCTTCAGACCGGTGACTTTTCTCTTTTTTGTTTAATAGCATATGCCTTTGAGAACCCAGTCAACGCTCTGGACCTTTCCCTAGACATTTGCATAAATGGCAGCTACAAGCAGGCAGTGACAGGGTTTGGGGACGCTGAAGCCCATCTCCAGACCGCAGGGGTCTGTGAACCCCTGAGTTAAATGGTTTGGAGGGAGGCACAGGCTTTGGGGGTCAAACTTCGAATCAGCCTCCACCATTTACCACTGTTAACTCGGGCTAAAATTACCTAAGCAGTCTGCATCTCAGCTTCTTGACTGCAGTACTTCAAGTGGGACGCCTACTAACTTGAAAGGTGTGGAGATTAAATGAAAGAAGCTAGGTGAGGCACTTCAGCACATAGTAGGCGCTCAGTAAGCGACAGCTAACAGATGGGATTATAATTTGAAATCTGAAAGGAAGCTTTAATATCCATAATTATAAGATGGCCAACCACATATATTTTGCACAGACCTGTGATCAACTGAGTTGGATGGATCAGAACTCAGTCTTGCCCTTGACCTGTCAAGACTTTCATAACCTCACGGCTGTTTCTTTCCAGGAACTTGGCTGTGTTGTCCGGCCTCAGAGAAGAGACTCATCCACTGCAGGCCTAGCCTGGGTCGCTGCTTTTGAAAACAAGGGAAGGCCGGTACAATTATCAGCCAGAACCCGGCATGGAATCGTCAGAGAGGTCTCATTTCTCTACTGTATGAAGACGAGAACCACCTGGACTTCTGCCCGGGAAACTGAACGGGCCCGCGTTCCAGGGGAAAGACAATGAGCGCCGAACCTGAGACGCAGGCCGAGGAGATCAGGTGGCAGAAGGTCTTGTATGAGCGACAGCCCTTTCCCGACAACTACGTGGACCAGCGGTTCCTGGAGGAGCTCCGCAAGAACATCCACGCCCGGAAGTACCGCTACTGGGCTGTCGTGTTTGAGTCCAGCGTGGTCGTGCAGCAGCTGTGCAGTGTCTGTGTTTTCGTGGTCATCTGGTGGTATATGGACGAGGGGCTTCTGGCCCCCCACTGGCTTTTCGGGACCGGCCTGGCTTCTTCGCTGGTCGGCTATATTTTGTTTGATCTCCTCGATGGAGGTGAGGGACGGAGGAAGAGTGGGCGGACCCGGTGGGCCGACTTGAAGAGCGCCTTGGTCTTCATCACTTTCACGTACGGCTTCTCGCCCATTCTGAAGACCCTGACAGAGTCGGTCAGCACTGACACCATCTACGCCATGTCCGTCTTCATGCTGTTAGGCCACCTCGTCTTCTTCGACTACGGCGCCAACGCGGCCATTGTGTCCAGCACACTGTCCTTGAACATGGCCATCTTCGCTTCTGTCTGCCTTGCCTCGCGCCTGCCCCGGTCCCTGCACGCCTTCATCATGGTGTCGTTTGCCATCCAGATTTTTGCCCTGTGGCCCATGCTGCAGAAGAAGCTGAAGGCGCGCACTCCCCGCAGCTATGTGGGGGTCACCCTGCTCTTTGCATTTTCAGCCCTGGCAGGCCTGCTGTCCATCAGCGTCGTGGGCGCCACCCTCTTTGCCCTCCTGCTGGTGTCCATCTCCTGCCTCTGCCCTTTCTACCTCATCCGCCTGCAGCTTTTTAAAGAGAACATTCATGGGCCTTGGGATGAGGCTGAGATCAAAGAAGACTTGTCCCGGTTCCTCAGCTAAGCTGGGGACCCCCTTTTCCTTACAAAGGCAAGCTCATAGTCTAGCCTCCCCACGACGTTAAGACCTGAAGGCAGACTTCCATCCTGGTGGATGCCGCAGACTGATGTGGGTGGGAGAACACAGAGATCAGAGGAGAAAGTTAACCAACGTGCTGATCTGTGTTGTTACTTGGCCGATGAAAAAGCTTTCTGGGGCCCTCAGGGATCATTGTCTCTGGTTTATTAGTCTCTGTGACCAAGGAAGTGATGTGGTTTCTATATATTAAACAACAACGTATCCATCAAATGGTTTCATGGTTTTTCTGTAAGCAGAAGACAGGCAGAAGGCATGAAGAGGAAAGAGATAACCAAAGTCTGTGCGTGTATAAAGCCGCTTCTCTGCCTTTTTTTCAGTACTGACAGTGGCTCCATTACATATCTAGAGCTCAGATTCTAGAGCCCTGGAGGCCATGTCCACTTTTGTTTTCTAAAATTGCAGAATTGGCCCCTTAGCCTTGACTCAGTTTCTCCTCAGCTCCAAGAGAAGCACGTACCTGCACGGAACATGTGCTGTGTCATAATGCACACACGAAACGCTGCAAGTTCAGAGGCTGGAGGTCAAATCCAGCTGGAGTGTTAGGAGATACTTAGTCTTGGCGGGTAGGTGGGATTTCAGTAGGCAGAAGATGGTCTTAGGGCAAGGTTGGCAGAGGCCTTCATGAGCCAGGTCAGTAACATGAGCCGGCGAGGCTGGCATAGCTGACTAATGGCAACTGGCAACCGAGGGAGCATGGCCATCCAGTGAGACCGGCTGCCACTCTGCTCCAGCTGTGTTTCCGGTCAGAGTTTGGCCCGCTTCCGAGCACCAAATACAATTCTAACCCAGGAGCTGTACATGTGATTTTTAATATGAAATTGGACGTGTCCGTTCTGTCAGATTCAAATCAGGCCTCAAAACACACTTGCATGCAAACTGTGCCCGGCACTGAGGCACATGTGACCTTAGCACAAGCCACCAAGGTGGGAGTTCAGGGTTACGGGGCTCTGAGGAAAAGGGGGGGTGGGAGGTTCGAGAAACAATTAGGGATTAGGATACTCGGGAGTTTGGGTTTTATATTTATCTAGCTGATGTAAGGGGGGAGTAAGTGACCAGATCGTGGGCTAATGTCTGAATTGCCATCTCCGTTGTCTCACCTGGAAAGTGGGAGTGACAGTATCTACCTCTAGAGCTGTGATGATTAAATGGGACCTGTGCAAAGTGCTTTGCAGAATGGTGGACACAGCACTGTACTAATGTTAGCGCTTACTGTTATTACCAAGTTGATGTGCAGGAAGACGAGGCATCAGATTCCTCCCAGATGAGCGGGTCCCTCATGAAATCACTCACTTGGGTTCCTGCACTCTCCCTTCTCATTAGAAGTTAATTTCAAATCAGAAATCTCATTGGGGCTAGTAGTCTTCCTAAGAAGTAGCGTTTTGATTTCTCTGAACATAGATGTCTCAAAAATGTCTTCAATACTGATTTTAATTTGGACGGATGCCTAGAAAATCAAACTGTTAGGAATTCAAAGAAAAAGAAGGTCACTCTGTGAAGATGGATCAGAGACTAGGACACCAGGGCCTGAAAGGAAGGCTTCTGGGAGACACAGCCATGGCCCAGACCACTGTTCAGGGCGACAGTGAAGGTGGGTTCGTTCAACAACATCACACCTTGTAGGACGGGCTGACACCCTTGGAAATTTGATATAATTTTACACGCTTTCTGCATGCATCGCCGGGAAGTTCCACACACCCAGGAACATAAATGGATTCCAAAAAGGTTTGGGGGAAAAAGGAAATAAAAAAGCCATACGTGTTCTCTAAGGAAGTGTGAGGAAACCCCAAGCCTTTTAGTGTTGGCAACCTGAAGGATGAAGATGCGCCTCTCTGGGTGGCTGCGGCCTAGACGATGCTGCGACCTAGTGTGACAGTTGGTGGGCAAGTTACTCATCACTTAAGTAGAGGGATGCAGCCAGTCTCTGAAATTTAAATTGCACTGAAAGGGTGCAGGTAGAATATTACTGATTTAGATCCCCAGAGATATGATGGTGTGTATATGTGTGGGAGAAGGGGAGAGGATTACGGCAGCACTGGCATGAAAGTCCCAACCTGCCAAGGGCTTGTGTGTAAGAAGCTGCCTGCCTGCCCCGTCTGCACTCCTTCCTCCCAGCTCTGCTTCTTGTCACCGAGTGATAGGGAAGGCTGGAGGGTGCTGGGGGCCAAGTGAGGGCAAGAAGGGAGGGGAGGAGAGGCCGCTTTGCCCACCCCTCCAAAAGGGCACCAGGGATTGGGGCTGGGATGGAAGGAGGGCCAGGGAGGGCGTACTCTACGCTGTGGCATGATGTGGCTGCGAGATGCTTGGCACGTCGCTGGAAGGCTGTGCAGGGATCTGAGTGTGGCAACATACAGTGGTGTCTGTGTTCTGTCTGTCCCCTTCGTCAGTGCTGGAAACTTTTGAGTGAGCCTTTGGGCAGCTGCCTTAAATTGTGGATTTTTAAGAATTCATGCCGAGTGTATCTAAGGCAGCTTATTGGAGCCATCTACACCTTCTAAGCCAAAGGCTCAAGGTCAAGGAAAACAAAGACAAGCCAGCAGAGGGCATCCGTCACACAATTTTACAGTATTTCAAACAGGCTGAAAGCAGGGAACAGGCTGGGACACAGCGCCATCTCGTGGAAGTTGTTGATATTCCTTTTTATAATGAAATTCAGTAAGAGCCTTGGGATTCTTGCTGAATTGTGGCTTGGGAAGTAACTACACCGTCTGAGGTCCCCATACATTCAGGAAATAAATAGCACAGTGGTATTTGATAAATTATTACATGTAGTTACATTTTCTAGCACCCAGTGTGTACCAGGCACTGTGTTCGGCACTTTATATACATTGTCTTATTACAACAATTCTGTAATACAGGTATTATTTTCATTTTAAAGCTGAGGAGACTTAAGATTTTCCCCAACATCTAATAAAATATTTATTGTCCGCCTGGGCCTATCTCTACTCACTTTCTACCATTCCCATTTTATGATGTCTGGCCTCAGGAATTTATTCAACAAATATTTGCTAAGCATTTAACTATATGACAGATACTGTTTTATGTGCTTGTGATATATCTATGAACAAAATGGGCACAGGTCCTTGACCTAGGCGAGTTAGCATACTAGCAGGAGGAGACAGATAAAAAACATAGGAGGTAATAAATGCTACAGAGCAAAAGAAGAAGCAGTGGTATTCGACAAGGGGGTTGGAGTAGGTCTCATGGAAACCGTAATATTTAACCCCAAAGACGTGAAGGCGGTGAGGGAATAATCCAGATTCCCAGGGGAGGAACATTCCAGGGAGAGGGAGAGCCTGAAAGACTGGGTTTTCGATAGTGTTATGTGGCGCTTCAAAATCGGCTTTGTTAGCTGCTGTCACCCGCGTCAGTGGCTTCTTCTTGACGCACTCAACAGCTGCCACTGAATCTGGTCTTAATATGTTGACAGTATTGCGATTCAGTAGTAACTTCTAGTATGAAAACCCCAAACGAAAGCGGGTATCTATAATGGTGGTGGAGGCAGCTGGCATGTCCCTTTAAATGGGGGACATAGAGCGGTGTAATATCATGAAGTCTATTTGATTTATTCAGATACAGACTCTGTAGTACGATAAAGGGCTAGAGAAGTTTCTTTTTCAGAAATCTTATCTTCCTGTGGGTGAGGTTCATGCTTTTAAAATGGATTCACAATTGCAAAGGTTTATTTTGGAATCTCATGGAACTAAACCAAAGATTCCGGTATCAATTTTCTGCATTCTTTTTTTTTAAATACTTACTGCTGAGTTATAAAACAGATATTGGCCCGTACAACATTTTTTTCAAACTCTGGGATAAGGAGGACGAAAGTATATCGTGCTCCAAACCCACGGAAAGTGTCCATGTCTGCAAACGAACAGCAGGAGTTATTAATATTTCCTTATCTCCTTTTGTCTTTTAGCTTCTAGGATGTTTGTTGAAACACCCCTCAGTGTCTCCGTGGTGCCCAAGGCTCATTGACATTTACTTACCAGTGAAACTCTTTAAGGAAAGGAGTGGAAGTTGTGTTTATTTTTTTCCCTACCTTTAATTCTCTCTTCTCCATCTCCTAGACGTCCTGGGTTTTTCTAGCTGGAGGCTGGGGAGCACCAGCTCCCCCCACAGGTCCTAGTGGAAGATGGCTGCAGGCACCTTCCGAATCTAAAGCCTTTGTATTAGCAGCCAAAGCTAACTTAACGGATTACTTCCATTTCAAAACCACTGTCTTTCTCAACCAACACTTACACTATTCCATTAGAAATGAAAAGTCTGGTCTTTGGTTGGCTAAAATGAGTTCTGTTGCTCCTTTCTTTGTCTGAGGTCAGAATCACCATGTTCTAGAATGTTAGCAAGTAGATACTCTGGTTCTAGAACTCAAATAGCTTCTCCAGCACTAAAATCAGTAACAACTGTCCCTGGGAAAATGACCAACATGGTCTCCCATCAGAGCCCTAGACTACGTTTGCTCGTTTTATTTTGCAAACTCTTTCAATCCTGTCACCTCTCTGGTGCGCCCAGTAAGTAGGACGTTATCATGAATTCAGGAAAGGGCTGAAGCATAAATAAAAGGATGGGAATACTTTAGAAATACTATTTTTATTAAAGGCATACTAGCTGGTGCCTCCTAGTGATCCTGAGTTATGGTCAACTCAGCAAAAGGCTGTACTTTTTCAACCATCAAACACTGAGGGTGGAGGTGGGGTCAGGGGAGTTGGGGGAGGGTATCTCATGAGACTCAGAAACACTGTGACGAGTCAATAAATCGGAACCAACCTCAGCATGGTTTCCTTTTAAACCTGGCTGCCATCTCCCCTCCCCATTTCTCTTGTGTGAGGAGAGGGACCGCACTTTGTGGGGACACCGGGTAAGGATGCCAGGCAATGGGTTCGTCCAGCTAGGACTCGAGTTTTCCACTCTTATTGTTCGTCAGGTCAATTAAAGCGTTAAGTCTTTTAAACTGTGTCACACTGCATAGAAAAATACGTTCATGTTTAAGACAAGTGGGAAGGTACCAAACTCCTAAGAAAAGCTGAATCGCTGGAAGCCTTCCAATGACAACCTCTGTGTTTGTTCCGGGAGGTGGGGGGATCATCGGGGGGGGGGACTGTGTCTGTTGTGGTGGGAATGCTATCAGATGGGACTTTTATCCAATAAGAATACGGATTATGAAATCAAATGCCTGCACTGGAGGTGAAGGGAAGGGCAGAGGACCTCTC